TATCTCACTTAGGGGGTGCTAATATAAATTGCATTTTACATTTTAAATAATTCCATGTGCTCATGGTGGGTATCGAGGAAAGTGGTTGACTTCCATACTTAGCTTGTATCCTGTACCTTACTAGAGTTGCTTGTTAGTGCAAGGAGCATTTTTTGGTAGATTCTTTCCTACTTTCCTCACAAATAATCCTGCCATCTATGAGCAAAGGCGGTTTCAGTTTTTTCTTCCTGATCAGTAGACCTTTAGCTAGGACTTTGGTGCCATATTGAAAAGTGAGGAGAGGGGCCCTCTTTGCCTTCTTCTTGGTCGTGAGTTTCTCACTATGGGGGATGATGTGAACTGTGGGTTTTTTGGTAGATGGTCTTCATCAAGTTGAGGAACTACCCCTCTCTTCCTGCTTTATTTAGAGTTTTCTTTTATGACCATGAATGGGTGTTGGATCTTGGCAACTGCTTCGTCTGTGTCTGTTGAGATGATCGTGTGGTTTTTCTTCTTTTGCTTGTGGACATGATGGATAAAGGCAATTGATTTCCAAATATTGAGCCAACCTTGCACGCCTGAGATAAATCCCATTTGGTCATGGTGTATAACTCTTTTTATACATTGTTGTGTTCAACTTGCCCGTGTTTTATCAAACATTTCATTATCTATGTTCATGACAGATATTGAGCCATAGTTTTCTAATAATGCCTTTGTCTGATTTTTGTATGAAGGTAATGCTGGCTTCATAAAATGAGTTAGGAGGTATTGTCTCTGATTCTGTCTTCTGAGAGAGATTGTGGAGAATTGGAAACAATTCTGCTTTCAGCGTTTGGTAGAATTCACCAGTGAACCCATCTGGGCCTAGCATTTCTTGTTTTGGGAGATTATTAATTATTGGCTCTACTCCCTTAATAGATATAGGCCTGTTCAGATGGTCAGCTTCTTCCTGTGTGCATTTTGGCCGATTGTGTCTTTCAAGGAATTGGACCAGTGTGTCATCTAGGGCAGCGGTCCCCCACCTTTTGGACACCAGGGACCAGTTTTGTGGAAGACGATCTTTCCACAGACCTAGGGGCGGGGGGGTGGTTTGGGGATGATTCAAGCTTATTATATTCATTGTGTACTTTATTTCTATTATTGTTACATTGTAATACATAAAGAAATAATTATACAACTTACCATCATGCAGAATCAGTGGGAGCCCTGAGCTTGTTTTCCAGCAACTAGACGGTCCCATCCGGGGGTGATGGGAGGCTATGTGTTACTTGTGTCCAGTCTCCTGTGTCATCTCGTTTGGGTGACTGTCGCTGCAGAAAACGTGCTTCACAAAGACAGGATGTTGGAAGTGGAAGCAGGCTTCTCAGTGCTTTTGTGGCGATCTCAGGATATCCTGCCTTGACTAATCCAGGACGAATGGAGACGAAGTCATCTCAGACATACTTTTAAGGCCACCCTCACCGGCGATCTCAAGTAGTTGATCCTCTCCTAGCACGAACAAAGTCGGCTCACCTGGCTTTTTCACAGATGGACCGCAGGTCCGTTTCTTCCCAACTCAGGGGTCTTCTGTGTCTGGAAAGTCATGCTCAGACCCTTCGGAAAGCCAAGATCTGTGATCACGCACCAGCTGGGAGAAGAAGGCCCTGGCTCGGTCTCTTTCAAAATCTCTGCTCATGTTTGAAACATGGCGAGGATCTCAGTGTTCACGCATCGCCCCCATAATTCCAGTTTGGCTGTGAACATACTCACTCTATCTGCTGACTTGAACACAGCTGTCGTTTTCTCCTGAAGTGACAGATTGAATTCATTGAGCAGGTTGTCACACAGGTAAGCAAGTTTTGTGACCCATTCTGTGTCGCTGAAATGTGACTGTTTTTCTAAACGACGTCTCTGGAGCGGCTCTCGTAACTCGGAAACCCTGGTCAGTGACCTAACTTAGAAAGCCATCTCACTTCTGCGGGTGAGAGAAGTCATGTGTGCTCTGCACCCTTTTTCTCAGAGTTGTACAAACAGATGTGAGTTGCGGGCATGTAGGACTGCAATGTGGTTGGTCATTTGAATCCTGCAAAACATTGTGAAGTTCAGGTGACATTTTCAGCTAGCCAGCATTTCTCTGTAGATGACACAGTGCATAGACTCACATTCAGAAGCGGCCTCTTTGACTCAAGCAGTGAAACTAAAAAGCCATTCAATCATGGTAGCCACTCCGTCCGTACATGCACCAACACAAGATGACCCATTCAGTTTCCCTGATATGTGCTCATTCAAAGACTCGAATAGTTCTGCAGCTACGGTGTTGGCTGGTGAAAGAAACAAAAAAGTGCAGATGACATAGCCTCATACACATCCTCCTGAAAATATTTCACACGAAAACAAGCATTATCGCCTTGTCCATGTCGGAGGACTCCTCAACCGGACCACACACCCCGGTGACTCATTCATCCTCTCTGACAGTAGTGGCTCCATATCTTCTGCTATTTCACCAATTTGTCTAGTTATGCTGGTTGCTGAAAGAAGAACACACACCACCTTTTGAACTGCCACCTCTCCTAAAAGTTCACAACAAATATCCTTAGCAGCAGGCAGACTCCTCATTGGGTCTTTCCCCCTTTCCAAAGAAGCTCTCCGGTGACGTTTGTCTTCTACTCATTTTGGCTAGGGTTAGCTTGTGGGCTCACCAAAACTGTGACTGAGACAAGTGCACAGTGCGGAAAAGAGGTGCGAGTGGCAGTGGTAAATAAAATAATGGGCTGTCCACACATGGCCTAGAATAAGACTGGATTCTGACTGAAGCCAGCCACCAGCTGCAGCTGTACCACTGAAGTCTGTCAGCTCGCTTGCCACTCAGGGATGAGGTTTCGATATGGGTCTGCAAACAACTGCTGCATTGTGGCCTCTGGGAGTCACGCCCCACTGCTCAGGCTCTGCTGCCTTCGCAGCCGCTCCCAGTGCTGGCATCCCCACCCCAGCTCCACCCTAGCTCCACCCCAGATCATCAGGCATTTGATTCTCATAAGGAGCTGCGACCTCGATCCCTGGCATGCGCAGTTCACAGTAGGGTTCATGCTCCTGTGAGAATCTAATGCTGCTGCTGGTCTGACAGGAGGCGGAGCTCAGGGCGGTGACGCAAGCAAGGGGCGTGGCTACACACACAGAGGAAACCCGGCTCTCTCACTTGCCCCTCACCGCCTGCCGTGTAGCCTGGTTCCTCATAGGCCACAGACTGGGACTGGTTGATGGCCTGGGGATTGAGGACCCCAGTCGAGGTTATCCGATTTACAGGCTTAGTCGTTCATAGTCCAGATAACCCTTGACTTGGATGAAGTTACATCCCAATAAGCCCTCGTAAATGGAAAATATTGCAAGTTAAGTGCAAATAATAACCTAATGAACCCCGTATAATGTGAGGTTCCTCTATTGTCCTTTTAATGTCCATGGGATCTGTTGTGGTGTCTCCTCTTTCATTTATGACATTCATAATTTTGATAGCTTTTTTTTCTTAGCCTGGCTAGACACGTATCAATCTTACTGGTGTTTTCAAAGAACCAGCTTTTGGTTTCGTTGATTTTTTTTTTCTCTATTGATTTCCTCTTTTTGATTTTATTGATTGCTGCTTGAATTTTTATCATCTCTTTCCTTCTTCTTACCTTAATTTGCTCTTTTACTAGTTTCCTAAGGCAGAGCTTATATTATTAATTTCACACCTTCCTCTTTCTTTTTTGAGTTGGGGTCTCACTATGTCTTCTAATATATACATACGTTATTCTGTTCTGTGGCCTGACTGGAATGAAGCTTTTCCTCTTGACTTATACTTTCTCTTTGCTAGGCCAGGCCTCACCCAACTGTCTGGGGTTAACATTCCATGGGTCTTCACTGTAGCAGAATCCCTCCAGGTATCTGGAACCTAGGTTTATTCTGGCTACAGGGGGGTTTTTATCAGCCAGTTGTCATTTCTTTTGCACAACAGGTGGGTCCACACTGATAGTTCTGCAAGTTCACTGGGCAGGAGCCAGATGGAGTTTTAGCAAGTATTTACAGGAAAGAAGGAACTGGACGCTCCATTCCTTTAGGCAGTAAATAGACATGACTTACCTCCTCTGGTGGCTTGGTCTACATGCACGTGTGTTTATGTGGGCCAGCCTGCACCCTGTGAAGAGGTTAACTGGGGGTTCTCGGCCTTAGCAGCACATTGGAATCACTGGGGACCCTAAGATGTCTCATCCCTGCATTCTTCTGGAATTGGCCTGTGCTGGACCTGGCCCTGGGGTTACTGAAAGCTCCTCAGGTCATTACAACAGTAGCCTGGGCTGAGACTGTCCCAGACACTTCCTATCACAAACTCTCCTCCATTCGCCCTAACCCCCCAGAACTGGCATGAGTAATCGCCGTAAGAAATGGGAGTAGAGCCCACAGACCCCTGTGGGGATGCAGGAGGTTGGACAGATTTCTGGGAGTGATCCCAGAAGGGGAGCAGGAGAGGGAGGTGAGGAGGTGGTCCTGGCTGCTGAAGGTGAAGAAGGCTCTGCCCACAGGGCAGGGGGCTGAGACATTCCAGAGCTCAGTCTCTGGGGACCGACAGATGAAACGGACTCAGTGGACTGGCCGTCGCTACTGACCAGGTTCTCTGCAGACAGCATCTCTAATGCTTGGGGAGCCCCTGGTCCTTCCTCTCTCCTTTTGGAATCGACTCAAGTGGCCTGGCTGACTCCAGGTGCGGGAGGCCCTGGTCCCTCCCCATCCCCTGCTGCCCGACTCAGGTGGCCTGGCTGACTCCAAGTGGGGGAGTCCTGGTCCCTTTCTCTGACTCAAGTGGCCTGGTGGACTCCAGGCGAGGAGTCCTGTCCCCTCCCCACCGCCTTCTGAGTTGACTCAGGTGGCCTGGCGGACTCCAGAGGGGGGAGTCCTGGTCCCCTCCTCATCCCCTTCTGACCTGACTCAGGTGGCCTGGCGGACCCCAGGCAGAACGTGTCCTTGTCTTCCTGCCTGTGGGGCATCCTCACGTGTCTCTGTGTTGCCCCCAGGTCCGCACCAAGGACAGAGTGTTCGACAGCATCAGCCACCTCATCAACCACCACCTGGACAGCGGCCTGCCCATCGTCTCGGCCGGGAGTGAGCTGTGCCTCCAACAGCCAGTGGAGAGGAAGCAGTGACGTCCCTGCCGCTCCAGCTCGAGCCCGGGTCAGGAGGGCCTGGAGCGCATCAGCCTGGTGACCGGCAACTGCTGGGACTCAGAGCTTTCTGCAAAGCCCCGAGAGCAAGGCTTCATGCAAGGTCAAGTTCTGCGAACTCGTTCAGTTGCCTCACATGCATATTAAAGGTGTACATACCTATACATCCTGTACAAAGTATCTCTCTATATTTATATTTTTTGAGACTAAGAAAGATGTAAGACTAATGTTCCATGCTGTATGTTTTTAATGGAAAGAAGAGTTTGACTGTAGTTGTCCAGGCAAAAACTTAATTCCACTGACCCACTCCAGTGGGGAATTCCACTAGGAAGGAGTGGCCTGCAGTTTCACCTGAAAAGCACAGTCCAAGGGGCATGGAGGGGAGCAGCTTGCCTTGGGAATGCACAGAACCGGGATGGAACAAGGCGGCATGCACTTGCACGTATAGCCGAGAAACGGTCCCGAGGTGCAGCCATGCTTGCTGTCCTTGGCCCCCGTGTGCCCCTGTGCTGCATTCCAGCACTCGGGTGATAAGCCGCGGTCTCGCCAAAAGCAGGCACCTGTCTGGCTGCCCCCCTCTGTGCAGAACACAGTATCACGTCCCCTGATCCTGGCTGTCAGGAGCACTCGGGGGTGTGTTTTATGCCACATACAGCACAAAACAAGCCTCACCCACCATGACAGTGATTGACGAACTCTCCCTTGGCCTCATTCACACCGTGCCGCAGTGGTGCCTGTAGCGCATAGTCATGGAGGGCTGCGGGCTACGATCCCTTCTAAGTCAGAAGGTCGACTCCAGGCTGCTTGGGGGGCTGCTCGTAACTGCCCCAGACTCAATGGGGGAGAGCCATGTGAGCACCTTGCTGGGGGTCGGGCAAGCGCGGCCTCCAAGCTCCTCCTGGGGACGTAGCACTGGCCGGTATACCTGTATCTCCAGTGTAGGAGCTCAGACCAGGACACAGGCATCACAGGATTCGGGCTCAGGCTCCCCCTCTGGAGTGGGGGACAACGCCTGCTCGTCCCACAGCCAGGGCTCCTGAGACAGGCATGTGCCTCTGCCTCCTTGGCTCCTTTCATTCTAGGTGAAACCCTGGCATTTCCTGATGGGCCCTGTGGGTTAGGAAGTGGACGATGTTTATAACTCTTGAAACTTAACTGGGCCGAGCTCCCCCTGTGATTCTGACAGATGTCTTTTAAAGAACAGATGGGACTGTTTGTTCCTCGGCACCTCCTCATAGTGGCACCACTTTGTCCCAGTGAGATCCTGTAGGGTGTGGCATTCCACATGGTGCAGGCCAGTTGAGCAGACTCTCTGCACACACTTGGACTTGGAGTGTGATAGATTAGACACGTTCAGAGGAGTTAAGGGGAGCCCTGAAAGCATCATGGCAAGTGGTGATTCTGCAAAATCCTGGCACCAAGCGTGCAGACCCTCTTCTGCTTTGGGATGTGTGTGAGGCCAGATGGAGGCTGGAGTAGACCTAGTGGGTGACGAAAGCCTGGGACAGGTGTTTGCTCTTTGAGGAGCCAGTGAACCCAAGGTGACCGTGAAGTCAGTTTCCTAGAATATACTGCAGTGGACTGGCGCTCTGGGGAGTCTGCCACTAATGTAGACTGTTCTTCTGCTTCTTGAACCTGTTTTTGTTTTCAGATGTCATGTGGATACGCATTCAAGGTTATCAGCAGCAGGGGCCTGGGAGGGAGTGCTGGCAGCTGCTGGGGTTCTGTAGACCTTGGGGCACTCTGAGAACTGTCCTGCGCTCTGTCCCAGGAGCCTGTGACCCTGGAGACACAGATGCCAGCCCTGCTCTTGTGTGTGAATGTGTGCCACACACAAGAATGTGTAAAGTGAGCTCTCACACCATCCTTGCATTCCCCACTGTGTAAGGGCAGATGCTGACATCGGGACACCAGCAAGGAGAAGATGCAAGTAAACAACTGTGGCATTTGGTTGACTCTATTTCCTTCTTGAGAAACTTAAGACATGGTCATCTGCAGCTTTAGTAGCTCTTGCTGTGAAGTCATGGTTTGTTCTACAAGGACTAAAAAATATATAATTTGTTTCACATAAGAATCAATTTAGAAAATCAAAGGTAGTAGGGGCAAAGTTTTTCTTTTCAAAATTAATTCAAAATGCATACTTTTAAGTTCAGATTCCTAGACTGTGATGGAATGAGGCCAGTGTAAACATCAGCACTCCTTTTTAGCCATCAGAGCAGACTTTGGATGCAGTGGGTGGCAGTGACTTTCTAATCTTTGTTCCCTTCCATTTGTAAAGCATGTTAGGGTACATTTGAGTTCTCTCAGCCCTTCCTCCCTCCATACATGGTCTACCACTTTCTGGCCTCATTCAAAATTATCCACACCCTCTCTACCACCAGGAGACCTCCAATGATGTCATATGTGGCCTGATCGGATAATGTGATGAAATTAGTCCCATGTGGTGGCTCACACCTGTAGACCCAGCTATTTGGGAGGCCAAGGCAGGACCATTTGAGCCCAGGAGTTTGAGGCTTCAGTGAGCTATGATCACCCCACTGCGCTCTAGACTGGACCTCAGAGTAAGACCGACCCCATCACTGAAAAAAAACAAAAGAACACATGATGGGCCATTCCTGTGAGCCTCCCTCACACACAGGGAAATTGAGGCCCATTGGGTGTCATGCTTTGCCCAAGGCCAAAGGTCCATGGGCTGCAGACACATACAGACATGCATACACAGAGCTGTTCTGCTCACTTGGCAGTTCCCGAGCTCTGCTGTGTGCCTGCCTGTGCTTGGAGCTCAGGATCCTGGGCTGATGTTGACGGGGCCTCCTCCCTGGCTCTGTTCCCCGCAGAACAACACACACAGACAGCTCCTCCCTATGCCGTGCCTCCAGGGGCTCCGACTCCCAGGCCACCCTGGGCCCTTGAAGTGGGCCCGGACCCTGCTGCCCTGCCAAGGACACAGCCCCCAGCCCAGAGCCAACATGGGTTGCACTCCAACAGCCCCTCTTGCTCTTGCAGAGTGGCCGGCCCTGGATGGCCCTGGAGACCCTTGCACACCACCATGCTGGAGGAGTCACTTGGGCCTCAAACGACACCTTTATCCCCCCAAGGCCATGGGCCTCCAATGGGGGTGCTCACTGTGGCTTAAACCAGCTCTGATTCTTGGCCGCCAGGCTCCCCCAGAGCTCACTGTAGAGTCATGTGGGCAGCCTGATGAACAGCACAGCCAAGTGAATCAATCCTAACTCCCATGTTTAAGCCACCACTGTCGGGGCTTTTCACACTCGAAGGGCCAAAGGGCTGGGTGCCTGCCCAGCCCTGACGAGTGGAGCCTCTGACATTGGGGCTGCCTCTGACATTGGAGTAGACGGACTGAGGTCCAGTCAGGCCCCACACGATGTCCTTGAAGGACTCCTGGTGGGGGAGAGGGTTGTGGGTGATTTCAAACGAGGACAGAAAGTGGCTGGCCATTCACGAAGGGAGAGGCCTGAGAAGGGAGGACGGGCCTGGGGGTGGACAGACACCTGCGTGGGCTCTCTGGGGAAACTTTTAAAGTCTGTTCCGATAAAGATAAAGTGGAACCTCCCCTGAGATGACAGCTCCGTTAGGATGATGAGGAGAGGGACTTTATAAGCTGGGGGAGCCCTGGTGTTCAGAGAGGAAGCTGAGCCCCGTGACCTACCGAGGATGGACCCAGGAAAGAGCCCCACAAGGGCCCAACAGGGCCTGCACGTGAGGTGCACCCATGACCGCGGCACGTGACGCCAATCCCCCCTTCCCCACGCCGCCAATGTCTGGCCCCGTCTCAAGATGCATAAGGGCCTGGCTGGCCAGGTGGGAGAGGACATGTTTCCGTTCCCCCCCTCTTACTTGGGGTTCTCTTGAAGCAGACCCCAAGAGGACTTGAGTGAGGTCATTTCTTCGAGGGTGGTCCCAGGATTTGGGAGGGAACGCGCTGGTGAGGAAGGAGTGCGTTATCAAGTCACCGCTCTGTGGGTGACAGGATGGGGGCTGGATCCCTCGGGGAGCCAGGAGGCGGGGCTGCACCCACCTCAGATTAACCCTGTGGAGTGGGGAGAAAGCTGCGGTACCCCCCGCCAGGCCCCTCGTGGGTGGGAGGCTGTCTCGGAGCAGCTTCTCCCAGGCCTGTGCGCAAGTGAGCGCATGTCCCACGCCGGGAACTCCTCGAACTCCTCGGGCAGAGATGAGGTCGGTGAAGCGCAGACTGAGAGCAGAAGGCAGGCAGGCGTCAAAGCCCCCGGCTGGCTGGTTCAGACGGACGACAGCCTCCCAGGCTCCAGCTCCAGGGGAGTCCTGGATATGGAGCGGGGCCTGAGAATTTGCATTTCACATGCATCAAGAGGATGCTGCTCTGGGCTGGAGTCTCGACTTTGGGACCCTCACTGGGAAGCATCCCAGCGTGTACCTGTCTCTGACTGATGGCTTCACCCCCTCTAACCTGCTCTCACGCCACTTCATGTCACGGATCCCAGGGTCCACGCTGGGAATTTAAAAGTGGAGAATTAATAAGCATTTATAACTCCATGTAACCGTTGCTGGAAGCTCAATGCCATCTGCCAGCCACAATTTATTTATAATGGAGTTTATACATATTCATAAGTTTGCAGGCAACAAATGCACATTTTTTAGCAGCCCAGAAAGCGGCAACTTTATACTAGAACCATGAATGTGAATTGCACGTGTAAATACACACATGCCTATGCCTACACCGGTCAAGATGGATCTGTGTCCCTCGTGTGGACACACACAGGCCGGCTCTTGGGACTCCTCCCCAGGCCTTGGTTTTGGAACTAAGGGGCACAGCTAGAAAGTCAGGCCAACGTTAAGAGTTTGGGGACCGGCAGGCCGTGGAGGAGGGCCCTGGAGACTGACGACGTGGGGCCCTGCACAGAGAGAACGGAAACAGGACATGGGGATGGCGGGTGGGGAGGCCCCGAGGGAGAGGACAGAGAGACCAGTGGAGGACAGCCAGGAGAACGTTCCGGCAGGAGAAGCTGACAGAGCAAGAGACGGAGGACAAGTCTAGACCTACATCTTCTCGCATCCGGCAGCACGTACCTGTTGGGGGAGCAGCAGGGAGGCCGGCCCCAGGGTGGCATGCTCTGAGCGCAGGCATTGTGGTCCCCAGGCACAGCGGCACACACTTGGCTTCTCGATCTCTCTAAGCAGCCCGCTGGCCTCATCTATGTTAGCTCCTATGTGGAGGTGCTGTACTGGGCTCGTGGCCTAGGAGAGGGAACGTGTGAGGTATCTGCCTGAGCGTACGATCCAGCAGGAAATGCACACACATAGGCGCACACACACATGTGCCGGGCATGACAAGCTTTGCAGTACAGACCGTGAGGGTGGAGTGCCCTGCTGGAGGCTTCGCACGGTCGGTGTCAGATGCTGGGTGTCAGAGGAGGCAGAGGAGAGCACAGAAGGCTCAGGACAGAGAGGGACACCCTCCAGTCGCCAGACCCGTGGGGAGGCTCCCAGCCTCCCTTCTGCCGCCTCCCTGCTGTCACAGATGCCCTGAATGCACAAACCCCTCGGGCCCCAAACCCATAGGCTCCCCCAGGGTTGGAAGAGCCAGGCCCACCGAGGGAAGCCCTGGGAACAAACTCCCACAGCATCTGAAGTTGCGATTGTGTCGCCTCACGTGGAGATGCTGCGGAGAACAGCAGGCAGGCAGGGAGTGAGCGCTGCCCTCAGAGTCGCGAAGGCAGTGCATTCACACCTGTGGGTGTTCTGACCCCAACCAGAGCTTCTGACCCTAACTGACACCACACGGCAACTAACAGACATGGACACATCCGCCTTTGAACATGGAGTTTCCTCTTTTGTAACAGCAATGTGTGGGTTGCAAGTGGAATGTTCTCTGTTCATTTGACTTTTGAATATAACTTGCTCCAGAATCCTGTAAAACTATGTGAATGTCTCTGTATGCCGAATTAAACATTTGCTGTTTAAATCCCAGGATTAGGAGACAACTCCATGTAATGTAACATGTAATAATAAGATATTTATCACTTTTTACAAAGCATTTGGATGGCAAATTATACCTGTTGGCAAGTGAATATTTGGGAATGCTGTTTTGTTTCCACTTACATTTGTGAAACAGAAAGAACGACCATAGTGGCCTGTGTCTTGGCATGTTGCCAGTTCATCACGTTTCCCTTTGACCCTGGAACGGAATTGGTTTTTGGACATTCCTGAGGGGTGGAAACACAAAACTGATTTCACGTTTTCTAGTCTTTGTTCTTGAAAGGTGATACAGCCCAAGTCATCTGGCCAACTCTTTAGCGATGTGACACGCCAGCAGGTGAGGGGAACTGGCTTCAAGTCACTCCTCACCCTGGGAATCCACTAGGATTCCATCACTCCTGCAGGAAGCGACGTGGTTCCCTCCCGTGCTCCTGGGATCACTGTGTGGAGGTACCACACAGCATCTCCCGGTGTCACCACTGTGACCCAGGTGGAGGGTGACACCTCGCTTAGGCAATGCTGCATTTCTCGTTACAGTGGGTTATGGGAACTTGTGCCTTTATTATCGGAATAGTGGTGTGTGCATTTCTGATTATGTAGCAAACCTTTGGATATTTAATTCCATACTAAAAACATTTGGGTGTTGAGGTTTTGCATTTGTAGATACAATGTAAAAGCATGGAACTGGTCATTGAATTAGACGTTTTCTATAAAATGCTCCTTGTTACACTTCTGTGAACGGCTCTTACCCGTGCAGAATAACCACGGCTCAAGGGTTGAGAGAGACAACCATTTTCTAAACAATTAATTGTTTCCATGACTATCCGTGTAAGTCTGCTGGCAATAAAGGCTCCTGTGAAAAGTCTCGTCCATGTGGGTGGTGGATCTTGTTCTGCCTGATGGAAGGTAAGAGGGGAGCTTGAAACCTCTCCCCAGAAAGCAAGTGCTCTCGGTGATTCCCCGGAAGACTTCTTAGAACAACCCAACACAGCCTCACTCCCTGTCAAGTCTGCAGACCATTTGGCAGGAGCATTCCTGAGGAGGTGAGTTACCTCTGTTCCGCCTGGTTGGCCCTAGACAGTGCGTAGGTGGAGGGCTGAGCCAGGAGGCTGCAGACCCCGTGTGTTGGCATTTCCGCACAAGCATCACCCAGAACAGTCATGCCAAACACAGGCCTGCCCTTTATACGTGACACAGGATGGAGAGGGAGACATCGGTGCCCAGGGACCCTCTGACCTGTTCTCTCCTGCTGCGTGAACAGCAGCAAACGGAGCTGAACCGCAAATCCTATCTCTAGGCTGTTGCGGGTCTTACAATTTCCTTCCTACCCAAAGAGCCATCTAGAACCCTTCCTCAAGACATTACGCTCTTTCAAAAGTGTGTCAGCAACACCCACTATGCCCAAGCTTCGTTAAACACCATCTGAGAGTCAGGACGTAGGAGGCGGAAAGGTTACTTGGGTTCCAGACGTGGTGGCATCTCTGAAGTGCTGAGTGGCACAGGCACTGGGTGGGAAGCCAGCCCGCTACACTGCACACCACTGGGGGACAAGGGGCAGTGAAGACGGTCCCATGACAGGGACGCCCAAGAGTGGGTTCACACGAAGGCTTTGGGTTTTATTTGTTTAACAAACATACACTGGGAACAGTAAAGGCTTCTAACTGGAAAGAGGTCTCACGCAGAGTTCTCTGCAGCGCAGAAGACCGCCTGCTTCCGGACTGGAGAGTTAGGGCTTTGCAGCACTCAGCTGCCGGTGGCCTCCGTCTGCCCAGCTAGCCAGGCATCTCGGTACACACAGGCATCCAAGGCAACTGTCTTCTGTATGTAGCAAATGTGCACAATTACTTTCTTGGTGTGTTTTAATTCAGGTTGCGGAAAAGTCTTGTGCACTTTCCAAGGAGCCTCACGTCCTCCCACAGACACGAGACCTCTAGTGGGGATGGGGGTGGGCGCTCCCTAGGAGGGCTAAAGGATGAGCCGAGATCCTGAGATATCGGTGACACTGGAGCGATGGAACAAGATATTATGAATGTTAGCAACAGAGAGACCCAAGGCCTTGCCCCCACGGCAGCTCCCAACTGTGGCACAATGCAGTTCCAGAGTCATTTCATCACCTACGTGAAATGCAATACCAGGTGTTTTGGTTCTCTGATGCTTTTTCCCTTAATCCATTACCTTCATGCACTAAAAGTGTTGGGTTTTCTTACTTAGGCTGTTTGATAAAGACAACGGGCTGCTTTTCATGACGCGGAGAAGGCAACACAAAACACCTGATAAGCATCTCCTACACAGGTTTTATCTCACTGTAACAAGAAATAGAAATGTCTTTGGTCCGTCCACGGAGGAGGGTCACCCAGAACCCACAGAAATGCTTGTTAGTCAGAGACATTTGGCATCAGATAACGCACGAGAATCCGTTTCTTGTAGAAAAAGCTTCGAATGTGGGAGGGCTGCCTTTTGAGGTGTGATTCAGGCAACGCTCCCTCCGAACCTAAAAACATTCAGGGGCTTTGATGTGAGGCTCATCCACGTTGGATCCTTTTGAAGGGTGACTGTTTTGGTGCTTGTTTTTTCAGAGGGCGCCACATAGCAACTGTGCGCCTGGGACAGCTCTGCCGATGTGTTCACTTCTCTCTGTACCTAGTTGTACTGCATGTCGAGCCCTTGGGGAAGGAAGGGTGTGCGAAACGTGGGCAACAGAGCGATACAGGTTCAGCTTGAAAGTAAAAGGGCAGCCTCACGGAGGGATGTTTACAGGACATCTCTCCGAAGGACATGCGAGGCACCAGCTCACGTCTCCTGACCTGACGGTCGAGCCACTCTTGCCGGTCCTTGACAGGGGTGCCGGTCTTCAGGAGACCGGGAAACTTCGTCGATGGTCCCAGCCACTCAGCTGTGACACCACGGGAGTGACGGGCTTGATGCCTTCCTGACACAGAATCCCAGTGTCGTCTTGTGATCCCCTCGTCTTTCCCAGACACTCTCCGTCACATGAAGTGATCCCCCACCCCTACCTGGCGGCACGGGGCAGCGAGCCAGGCCAGTGTCTGCTCCTGCCACAGCCTCGGGGGTTCCTTCCTGAGCCCGTTGGAGGGCGCAGGCTCCTGGGGGATCTCGGCTGGCTTTTCTGCAATTTGCAGAAAACCCCAACCCCCCATGATCTGGCTTTGGGATGTGCTCGAAGTCATGCAGGAGCTCATGGCTGAAGGGTGAGGGTCAGACCCACATATCAGGGGCCAGCTTTTGGAGCATCTGGGCCTTAAATCTCACTTAGCATGATACTTCATGTCAGCCCGAGCAGACCAGGAATGGCGTGTCCTTCTAATTCACAACCCTGTCCTCGTACCTGGGGCTCCATCAGAATGCGCTTGTGTCACCTGTCACGGCACCATGTGGTATGCTGAGCCCTTATACAGGTCCCACACGGCAAATGCCAGCAACACAAACTCCGAGTAACACAGAAATGCACGCGTGTACAAACATTCATTCCGTGCACGACACATGTAGTGTAACGCCCTCATCACGTCATCCCGAGGCACACGGAGAAGCACACGGCACCCTGGGGGCCTCGACCACCCCCTCCGCGAGCAACAGGGGGGCGTCCGGATCCAGCGGGAGGCAGCGGGGGATGTCATGGCACGCCCGAAGGCTCCAGAGCCCAAGCAGACAAGGCACGCTGTCAACACTGAAGTGGCGTGACAAGTCCCCAGGTCCCCTCCTGAAGAGACGTCCACGCTGGGCAGGCCGTCGGGCAAGCCCGCAGACCTCCCAGGCCAGGCTCCCCCAGGGCCCACGCGGAGGCGGCGCGTGCAATAAACAAGAGCGCAGCTGCAGGGCGGACGCAGAGACGCTCACTTGCAGAGGGCGCCGTTCAGGAGAGCCGCGTCCCCGTCCAGGGCTCGGGGGGGCGGCTCCTCCCGGCCCCTCGGGGCGTGGCTGCTGTGGTTGCTGCTGCTGGACTTGCTTCTGCTGGGGTCGAGGGCTGGCTGGACGGGCGAGGCGCGGGCCACCCGGCCCCGGACCAGGCAGTTGCAGACCAGGCGGAAGAAGGCCCGCCGCATCTCCTTGCTGGCCAGCGTGTAGATGACCGGGTTCATGGCCGAGTTGAGCACGGCCAGCACGATGAACCACTGGGCCCGGAACAGGACGGGGCACTCCCTCACCCGGCAGGCCACGTCGATGAGGAAGAGGACGAAGAGCGGGGCCCAGCAGGCGATGAACACGCTCACGACGATCACCACGGTGCGCAGCAGCGCCAGGGAGCGCTCCGAGGTGTTGTGGGCGGCTACCTTGCGGCTGCTGGACTTCACCAGGCAGTAGATGCGCACGTAGAGGATGACGATGGCCACCAGGATGGCCGTGAAGACGCTGGTGCAGAAGGCGATGTAGCTCTTGGAGTAGAGCGGCAGGATGGTGGAGCAGTCGGGGAGGCTGTGCAGGCAGTTCCAGCCCAGGATGGGCAGCGCGCCCAGCGAGAAGGCCATCAGCCAGCACGTGCCGATCAGCAGGAAGACGCGGTGCTTCTTGCTGGCGTCGTAGGGCCGCATCTTGATCATGGTCAGGTGGCGCTCGATGGCGATGGCCAGCAGGCTGCAGGTGGACGCCCCGAGCGCCACGAACATGCTGCCCTCCCGGAGGAACCAGACGGTGGGCGACAGGCCGAAGGTCTTCCTGCCCGACATCAGGATGTTCACCTTGTAGGCCACGCCAGCCAGCAGGTCGCACAGGGCCAGGTTGCCGATGAAGAAGTACATGCGGTTGTGGAAGCGGTGGTTCTTCCAGATGGCCGCCAGCACCATCAGGTTCTCCAGCACGATGAGGCTGCAGACCACCAGGAAGAGCGCAGTGGTGAGCGTGCCCTGGGGCGCCTCCCGCAGCCCGCCCGCCAGCTTGCCCACGTAGCTGTAGTGCTCCTGCAGGGTGCCGTTCCCGGGCTGGGCCGGCGGCGGCGGGAGGCCGGTGGCCATGGCGCGCGCTCAGGGGCGGCGGGCGCCGAGTCCAGGAGAGGGCGCCCAAGCAGCGCTCATTTCAGGGGAGGAGCTGGGAGGCTGCCGCTGGACGACGCGGGCGGGCGGGCTCGCCAGCCCTGGCGCAGGACGCCGGCTCCTGCGGAGAGAGAAAAGAAGGGGCGGCCATGGGCGAGACGCGGCTTCCATGAGGTCTCAGCGGCCACACGGTGACGTGACCGGTGACACAGTGTGGGCCGAGGGAACCCCAGCAAGGCCCGGGAAGCGCCAGAGCGGCTGGACAGCTGTGGGCACCGGGCGGCAGAGAGGGGGCTTCAACCCCCGGCCACGCTCCCGAGGGACGGAGGAGGCTGGGGCTGCTGGAAGAGAAATTCGTGCATGAATCCCCGAAGCCCGGAGCGGAGACAGACCAGACAGCGTCCACCTGGAGACCCCCAAGCACCAGCAGATCCTCGTCTGCCACTGGGCGCTGGTGGACATCATCCCAGTCGCACAGAGAAAAACAGGATTTTCTCAGGACAAAGAAGCCGAGGGGATCGGAAAGATGGCCATCTGCTTCCCGAGGCCTCCCTGCAGAGTCTGGAGTGACCCGTGGGAAACACCGCGCCTGCTTCCTGGACAGCCTCCCCAAGGGCCAGGGCCAGAAGGCAGGTCTGGACGGCTGTGGGTCTGCTTGGCGGAGAGCCCTGTGCCCTGACGGTGGCCACCAAAAGGAGAACAGCCATGCGGCCACCCCTCGGTGAGCAGCTGCACCCAGGACCTGCAGAAACAGGGCCCGCTGTCCCGGCGGTCACGGGAGAGGAAGGCCGTGAAGACCACGTGGACTTGGAGTCTGGCTGCACGTGCAGAGGCCTGGTTGAGAGATGAGAGGAGGTGGATGCGTGTGGCCGACAGGCGGCACGTTTGGGGTCACATAGGAGGGTGAGGGTAGGGGAACCCAGTGCCGGCCTCCGTGGTTCTGAGTTCGAGTCTTCCCTCCATCGGACCTCAGACACCTCTCCTCAAGCCCACGGGTAGCATCCATCCTCAGCTCCCGTGATGCTGAGAACGCACACCCAACATGGAGAGACTTCCTTCAGTGCCCTCATCTACTTTAAATCAAAATGGCTTGAGGACTTAAATATCTAAGCTCAAGGAGGCCAACGTAAAGCAGAGCAGTCCTCTGTGTGTATCCAGGGAAGGTTCTTCTACTTTCACAACGGTTAAACCACAGTTCTGAGTCGGGTTCAGAGACACGTGAACCACCCGCCAGCGACAGGAGGCTCTGAATTTTGGGGTACGGCAGGCTCTGAAGGCCTCATCCTCCCACGAGTTCATTCAGCCTCAGCTCTTGAAGGACAGGGGGCTCTCTGGGGGAGGGGGAGCTGTGCCGTGGGGCCAGAAGCAGGGACAGCTCACACGAGCTTCACACCCCCGTGGCCCTCCTGGGACCGGGGACACTGCCAAAGTCCTTCCCTCCCCCCACAGTCTGGGGTCTCAGGTGTTCTGGGATGGCCTACCGCTCCTTTGCAGAGAGTCCCTCTGGTGTCCTGGAGCCTCAAGCCGCCGGGTTTTCGGAAACCGCTGGGCTGTCCGAGCTGACATCCGTGCTCTGCCTGGAACAGCGCCGACCCTCCCCGCCTCCCGCCGTGAGAGCTGCCTGGGATCATGGGGACCCGGGTCGAGGTCAGCAGGAATGCTAAGTGCCGGCAGAAATCCTGGCATCGCCGAGGCCTCTGGCGACCGCAGAAAGGGAAGCAGCCAAGGTCTGAGTCGCCCTGAAAGGGCAGGACAGCGGGGGCGTCGCTGCCCAGGCCCCCCTATCCCTCGCAAGCCTCACCAGCCAGTGCAGTGCCCTGGGGCATCTCCCCTGACCGGAGCCCCTACACCGGCCCTGCCTGGCTCACCACCAGGTTCCCCCCGGAAGTGGACAGGACGGTCCGGCAGGCAGCACCCCCCGGCCCACCCCTCCACACTGCCCCTCTGACTTTTATTTAAACTGTGTCCATCCTTCAAGGCTCATGCCTGCTCTGTGGCATTTTCTGGAACCACCCCAGCCCCGGGTGCCTTTTCTCCAAGGCTGCATGCCACTTTTGAACAAATATTAAAAACTGACTTTTCAGGCAGCCGGCATCTTCTGAGCCCTGACTGTGTGGCCATCAGCACAGGGGCGTGTGCCCAGCACATCTGATGTCACATTCCCACCTACGCGGTGAGGTCAGTGTCCTGCCCAGCACCTGGACATTACCAGGTACCCCAAGAGGCCGTGCCGTTACTGCGACTGCTGGTCTCCAGACTTCTTCATCTGAGCAGAGACTGGAGGGTCGCCAGCTCCACGCCCTCACTTTGCTCGGGCTGCATCCTGAAGCAGGGCGTCTTGGGGACACGCCTGCCATGCCCAGCCATGCACCGTGGGGACTCCAGGCCCGAGGAGAACCTGGGTCCGGGCCGTCTCCCGCCACCTCCTGCATCAGCGCACAGTGCCACGGGATGGCGAGGCTCTGTCACGTCCCACGTGTGTCCTTATTCACAGGAAAGGCCCAGAGCAACAGCAGGAAAGGAAGTCACTGGCAACTGTCCTGGGAGTGGCTGTTCCTTCCCAGAGCAGCCAGGCCAGGAGGACCTGCCCGGCTCACACAGCAGCTTGAGGGGCTTCCACATGCCCCACGTCAGGCAGCCAGCCACCCAGAGCAATGCAGTGCCCGGATTTATCTCACCATGCCCCTGGGATACACCCACTCCAGAGCATGGGTTTTCTGCCCCAGAGCCTGACAGCCTGCAGACACACCCTGGTTCTGACGCTGGTGGTGCCGAGACCCTTCTCCCCAGCTCCACGGACCCTTGTCCTTTTAGGTAATACTGGCAGAGTGTCATCATTCAGACTGTTCTTGCACTACCTAGCATGTCCCCTGTGCCTCAGTTTCCCCCTCCCAGCTCTTCTGAACACCCTCTGCCCTTTGCGTTTGCCATGCAGTGTGGGCAGAAGGGACATGGGTCCTGTGGCCATGACCAGATCCTGATTGCTTCTTGGGATCAAGACAGAGGGTGAGCAGACCCAGGTCTCTGCAGGCTCTTGCAAAGTGAGAGCGCCAAAACAAGCAGGCGATGTAAAAGGAGCAGCCAGCAATAAGACAACCACAGTAAAGAGAGCGTGAGTGGTGTCCGGCACCCATCACGGCCGTGACTCCCGAGGACAAACAGATGTTCCCATGAATGCTCGACTTCTCACCTCCCTTACAGCCAGATCTTCCTCACTCAAGGAGCACACTTTTCTGAACGTCCTTTCAAATCCGAATCTTCCTTCTGCATCCCTGGAAGATGTCTGGCTCTCGCTGGACTCGGAGAGCTCATTTTTGCTGGATGATCCACATTTACAAAGCAGGCCCCATCCGAGACTCAAGTGCTGGGCTGAGGGCCAGGATGATTCTGGACGCGTCTGAACATGACTGCGCACACTTAAAAGCCTCCCATGGACACGCCGTCCCCTCCATGCGTGAGGGTGCCAGCCACAGAGCTAGAGTTTGCGGGAAGCAGGCTTGGGCGCCACCACGCCTAGGGCTCCTGGAGCATGACCACCACCTGGGCCAGGCACTCTTCCCCCGTCTTCCTGCGTCTGGCCTTCCCACGAGTGGCCCCTGCAGTGTACAACTGCATCTGGTGTCTGTCCTTCCCCTAATGCACTGAGTCACGCCCATCAACACTGAATGTTCTTCTTACACTCGTGGCATGGATGGGTGCACTGCCCGCTCTTCATGCCTGCCTGTGGACCCACGTGTTGGTCATCACCAAGCGGCACTGCTGGGATGGGCACCACATCCCCACGTTTCTGCAGGGCCCCGGCTGACCCGGGCGGTGTGTTGGTGTCCAGAGTGGGGTTCCACCATGACTTGGAGGTGCTGGGCTTCCCAGCTAGCTCATTCTGCAAAACCCACCGGGGCTGGGAGAGCAGGGGCGCTCCCACGGAGGGCACGGCTGACGCGGTACTAACACTCACATGCTGCTTTACTCCAAAAGACCAGTGTCCCGAGTGAGCAGCGGCCTGGGACGTTAGGTGACTGCTTTGTTTCACCAGAACACATGAAAGAAAGCCGCGTGCTGAGACAGCGACTGGGTGCAGAGGAGTTCTGCACAAGTGCAGAAAGCTGGGCGCGTCCCAGGGATACAGGATTCCCGGCAGCCAGAGGCGAGACGGGTCTCCTAACCACACAGACGCTGGTTCCACCCCACCCCCAGCCCCACGTTCCTCAGCTCGAAGCCCCCACCCCAAGTGCCTCAGCACCAAGCCCCCCTGACAACCCGGGCAGACCCTCCCGGCCAGCTCTGCTGGGGACTTGGGGATTCGGCCCTCCTCATCGCCGGTCACTCGTGAGAGATCCGCTCGCATCTGAGTTCCCTTGGTTCTCCCCCATCGAGACCCCGGGACCCCAGAGTCTTCACATCCTCGCCGAGCTGAGGCTTCCGGTCTCCCTCCTGGCATTCTGACCCGACACAGTCTCTCTGCCGAGAAGGATAAGTAGCCTCGCGAGAGACGATGAGGGGGCGAGTGACCCCAAGTCCCCCCCTGCCCAAGCCAGGGGTGCCTGCCTTCCCCCGATTCCAAAAGAAGGCGGCCGCTGGGGGCGGGGTGAGCCTGGGAGAGGAGACCGGATGGAGGCCAGATGTGCCCACTCCCCTAGAGGTCCACCTTCTCCACACATGTCAACTCGAAAATCAACAAGCTATAAAAGGAAGGCAGAGGAGAAAATAAACGTTTCTACAAAGCCTGGTCTCACGCCTCCCCCCCTTTCTCTCTCTCCCCCTCTCTCCCTTTTCCCTTTCCATCTTTCTCTCTCCCACCCCCTTCCCTGCATCCCCCCACCATAAAAAAACACAATAAAATAGAAAATTCTCCCAGTCAGACACAGATTGCTGTATTTTTAAAAAGCACGTCCTCCCAGGGAAATTAACTAACTCATCCTGAATTAAAACGCCAGACATTTACCAATAAGCAACATTTCTTGGAAAGCAAGAAAAAAATTTTT